AGAGAGGACTCCTTAGGGATCCCAGGCCAACCTGGCACCATCAGCCCCTGTCCCCCAGGAACGGCTGGATGCTGCCCGGCAGGCGTTATCTGAGGCACGGAAGCAAAGCAGCTCTCTGGGCGAGCAGGTGCAGACGTTGCGAGGCGAGGTGGCTGACCTGGAGCTGCAGCGGGTGGAGGCCGAGGGCCAGCTACAACAGCTACGGGAGGTGAGGGCCAGGGTGTGCCCCCTCTGTCCCCAAGACTGTGAGGCCCTGGGATAGGGTGGGGACGTTCCCACCCATCTCAACTTCATGCCAAACCCTGGTGCAACCTCCAGTAAGGAAACATGGTTCATTCCGAGCATAGTTCTGTTATACAGATGGAGAAACTGAGACTCTGAGAGAAAGGTTTGGCTTCAGGTGACAATTCTCTGATGTGGGCCTCACCGTCGCCTGCTCTGTGAGTGGGCCAGCCTCATTATCCCCAAGCTTCAGATAAGTATGCTCAGGCCCAGAGGGATTCAGGGCCTGCCTGGCTTCTGTTGCAGGTGCTGCGGCAGCGGCAGGAGGGTGAGGCTGCAGCCCTGCACATGGTCCAGAAGCTGCAAGATGAGCGGCGGCTGCTGCAGGAGCGCCTGGGCAGCCTGCAGCGTGCCCTGGCTCAGCTGGAAGCCGAGAAGCGGGAGGTGGAGCGCTCAGCCCTGCGGCTGGAGAAGGACCGCGTAGCCCTCAGGAGGACGCTGGACAAGGTAGGCTGCTCCCTGGGCTCTCCCCTCACTTCCTCTGGGGCCTAGCCGTGGTGGATCCCACTGCACATCCCCAGGGTCTGCTGCCTCTGGTGGGGTTAGCTTATTCCATTGGGGTTCAGGAACCTGAGTCCCCTCAGTAAGCTCCTCCTGGCACCCTGATCTCCTCTGGCTCTCCTGCCTAGGTGGAGCGGGAGAAGCTTCGTAGCCACGAGGACACAGTGCGGCTGAGCGCAGAGAAGGGCCGCCTGGACCGCACCCTCACGGGAGCTGAACTGGAGCTGGCAGAGGCGCAGAGGCAGATCCAGCAGCTGGAGGTCTGACCCCACCCAGTCCGGGACGCCAACTTCATCCCCAGTCTGAGTGCTCAGCAATCCCAGTGTTGCTGATGGCCCAGCCAGCCCAGGGCCCACAACCCCCTCCTCTAGGAACTCTGAGCCTTCCAGTGACCCAGCCGGGCTATGGAGGGAGGGGTTCTCCATAAGGTGTACGGAAAAGACACTACAGGTCTGTTTGCACGTGAGCCTGTGGGTTCATGTATGTTGTGGCCTTGCGGCAGTGTGAGAACCCATGTGATTATTCTTGTGTATGGAGCATGAATCTTGTGCATGGTGTGGCGTGTCTAGGTATCGTGAATATGTGTTTGTGTACAGACGTTTTCATGTATGTGGGAGTTGGGCCTTTGCACATACACATGCACCTGTGTGAGTCCAGGTAGGGATTTACATGCTTGCCTTTGTGCCTGTGTGTATGACGTCTGAGTGTGTGTGTGTGTGTGTGTGTGTGTGCGCATGCACCTACCTGAGTGGGGGTCATTGGGTGCACTCACCCTGGGCTTGCAGGCTCACTGTCAGGGCCAGCAGGATGGAAGACACACAAGGATCTCTCCTGCCTTCCCCCTCTGCACTGGCCACGTCCCAGGGAGGTACCTGACAACCTGTCACACATGCACACACACACTCACGCTGGGCCAGAACCCTGACCACAGCCCCTCTCTGCAGGCGCAGGTGGTGGTGCTGGAGCAGAGCCACAGCCCAGCCCAGCTGGAGGTAGATGCGCAGCAGCAGCAGCTGGAGCTGCAGCAGGAGGTGGAGCGGCTGCGCAGTGCCCAGGTGCAGACTGAGCGCACGCTGGAGGCTCGGGAGCGGGCCCACCGCCAGAGGGTGCGTGGGCTGGAGGAGCAGGTGTGCAGGCCCCCTCGGAAGGCTGGGCCAGGATCCTTTGTGGGGCTGGAGGAAGGGGAGAGACCCAGTCAAGACCTCGTGGGTATAGGCAGTTGATGGCTCCCATAACCGAAAAGGGTGGGGTTGGCTCTGCGCTGGTATCAGCCAAGACCAGACCAGGGGCCACGGGATGCTCCTGGGCCCAAGGCCTTCCTGCCATGGCTCTGCTCCCCCTGGCTCCATGCTCAGGGCAGCCTTCTCCTTGGGTGGCCAGGTGTCCTCAGCAGCTCCAGCCTCAGGTTCTCCCAGCAATCTCATCCCTGAAGACCGTAGGGGCAGAAGTCCCAGGGCTGTCCCTCACTGGCCTGCTCAGATCATACACCCCTTCCTGACCATGCCTGAGCCAGCCTTGTCAGCTGGAGGCTGGGTCACATGTCCACCCCTTGGGTCTGGGCTAGAGCCACGCCCACCCAAGTGATGATGGGGATAAAGAATGGGGGTGGAGTTGCCCTGAAAGGTGCCGACAGTCAGAAGACGCCTGACTCTGCCGTAAGGAACAAAATGAGAAGGGCAGGACAGCCCCTGGCTCTCAGTCAGGTCAGACCTTTCCTGAAACCGTGGCACTGTGTCCCTCTGCGTTCCCAGCTGCCTTCCTTTCTCTGAAGCCAGGCTGACGACCTGACTGGCCTTATCTTCCCTTTTTTCCCCAGGTGTCCACACTGAAGGGACAGTTGCAGCAGGAGCTTCGAAGGAGCTCAGCACCCTTCTCCCCACCCTCCGGCCCCCCAGAGAAATGAGCCCCTGCTGGCATCTGGAAAAAGGCCCTATGCCCGGGACAGGGGAGGGCCCTCCTTTTGGACAGCCCACCCCCCAGAGCCCAGTCCCTTGGGGGCCTCAAGCTAGGGTGGGATGAGGAGGCGCTCCGCTGGCAGTGCTGAGGAGGGGTACTCCAGCTCCAGGCCTGGCGAGGCTTCCCGGCATCGCCTGCAGGCCCCACCTCAGTCCAGCCTCCCTCTTCCAGGGTGAGCCACTGTAGATAGTACAAGTTCCTCCCTGAGGGGCTGAGCCGTAGCCAGGGTTGGGGAGAGCCCTCGTCTCTGGTCAGCCCTGGAGCAAGGGTTCGTGGGAAAGAGGAGAGGGGCCAGGCCCAGGGCAGGGGTCAGAGGCCCAGTCCCTGACTCTGGCTTCCCAGGGATCTGTCTGCCTTAGTTGAGAGTGTGTGTCAGGAAATTCCTCAGAATGCTAAGAGTCCCTGTATTTTTATACCTTTTTACAATGTTAACTGTTCAGAACTGTTTTTTGTAACAAGATCTCCTTTTCTAAAAAGTTTGTACAGATGTGTCCCTCTTCTAGACGATTGGAGGAGACGGGGTCGGGGGGAGACAGGTGGGGTCTGGGGCAAGAGGGATGGGCCCTGTAGGGAGGGGTGCTTGGGGAGGCGGCAGGGAGAGGCAGAGAGGCCTGTGTTGGGAAGGGAACTTGCCAGCCTCACAGGATGTCAGATGGGGAGGCCTCTGGGGTCCTGAGTCACCCGGCGCATAGAACAGATGGGGCTGTTGAAGCCTGCGACTGGGCCGAGCCTGGGCAGCTCGACTCTTTCCAGTCTGTGCTTTCTTGCCCCTTTCTCTGGCCCCTCTTTAGATCCAAGCCCACCCTCGGGACAGTGACAGGCCTTCCAGGCAGCATGGCAAACAAGTGCAGGTTTGGGTGTGAACATGCCTGGCTCCGCTGGGTGATCCTGAGCAAAGCTGTCGCCCAGGCTGGAGCGCAATGGCACGATCTCAGCTCACTGCAACCTCCGCCTCCCGGGTTCAAGTGATCCTCCTGCCACAGCCTCCTGAGTAGCTGGGATTACAGGTGCCCGCCACCATGCCCAGCTAATTTTTTTTTTTTTTTTTTTTTAGTAGAGAGGTTTCACCATGTTGGCCAGGATGGTCTCAAACTCTAGACCTCAGGTGATCTACCTGCCTTGGCCTCCCAAAGTGCTGGGATTACAGGCATGAGCCACCACGCCCAGCCTGCTTAACCTCTTAAAGCCTCAATTTGCTCATTTGTAAAATGGGAACCTACCGCATAGGGCGACTGGGGAAGTTCACATAGGAGGTGCTCAATCAGTGTCTGAAGGAGAAATTAACACTCATCCTCATCTGCTGGAGTCCAGCTGCCCGATTTGGCCACAGCACTGCCGCTGACAGCTGTGGACCCGTGGGTGGGACCCTTGGGTGGGTTACTTCATGTCTCTGGGCTTAGTTTTCCTGTCTCTAAGAGGGGGATATGAATTACATCCACCACATATGCCTGTTCAGAGTTAAGGAGTGTGCGAGCCTTCACGCAGAGCCCAGGCCCCACGTGCTGGTCAGAGGGAGGTGTTATAATGGCTTGCTCGTTTTTGCCCTCTTTTTTTCTTTGAGACAGTCTTGCTCTGCCCAGGCTGGAGTGCAGTGGCGCGATCTTGGCTCACTGCAACCTCCGCCTCCCAGGTTGAAGCAATTCTTGTGCCTCAGCCTCTTGAGCAGCTGGGTTTACAGGCGCACGCCACCACGCCTGGCTGATTTTTTTTGTATTTTTACTAGAGACAGGGTTTCGCCACGTTGGCCAGGCTGGTCTCGAACTCCTGGCCTCAAGTGATCAGCCCGCCTCGGCCTCCCTGAGTGCTGGGATTACAGGTGTGAGCCTCTGCACCTCGCCGTTTTTGTTCTTTTAATGGCACCCATCTCCCCAACTTCTCAAAGGCCTTGGATGTCAGTCCGTCTGCCTTGATCCCATGCCCTCCAACCCCATGGGCAGCCTCCCATCTTCACTGTGTCCCTCTGGTGATGGGAACTCATGTCCTCACCAAGCAGCCCTGATCATGAGAAAGCTGTGTCCCTGAAGCCTTCCATCTCCCATGCAATTCCTGCAACACGCGTGCGCACGTACACTGTCATGACGCAGTGTTCTGGGCAGGGCAGAACTGGAGCCGGTGGGTGAGGAGGTGGGGCTGGGACTGCAGAAGCACAGGGCACCTGAGCAGACCGTTCACTCCAAGGGGTGGGGAGCCTCTCAGGACAGTCTGCGTTGGGGGCACTTGGCTGGCCCCTCTGTCTTCTCCACCGAAAAAGTGACTCGATCTTTTGTAAAAACTGTTTTTAATTTTGTATAAAATAAAGGTGGTCCATGCCCAGGGGGGCTGTAGGAAATCCAAGCAGACCAGCTGGGGTGGGGGGACGTAGCCTACCTCAGGGGACTGTGAAGGGGGGACTGTCTGTCCTCAGAAGGGGCTGAGAAGGCCCGTCAGGGGCCAAGGTCCCACAGAGAGGCCTGGGATGCCCCCCCAACCTGAGGGGCAGAGACTAGGCAGTGGGGAGCTCCCATCATGCCCCAGAGGTGGCCACAGGCTGAAGGAGTGGCCTGAGGCACCGCAGCCTGCAGCCCCCAGGGCTGCAGTCCACTAACTTTTTACAGAATAAAAGGAACATAGGGATGGGGGAAAAAGCACCAGGTCAGGCAGGGCCCGAGGGCCCCAGATCCCAGGAGGGCCAGAACTCCGGATGCCAGCACCACCCTAGCAGCCCCCACAGCTCCTGGCACAGGAGGCCGCCACAGATTGGCACAGGCCGCTGCTGGCCATCACGCCACATTTGGAGAACTTGTCCCGACACAGGTCAGCTATTAGGGGCAGGAAGGAGGGGGGTCAGGGTGGAGCTGGGAGATGAGAACCGCTGTCCCTCCCCCAACTCTGGTGATAGGAGTGTTTTGAGGATGAAAAGTAGCAGGGAGGGGAGCTCAGGGTGTCCTGGAAGTGGGCCTGGTGGATAATACGTGTTGAATAAACATCAGGTGGGTGACTAGGTAGCCAGATAATGAAGTGGACCTGGGGGTAGGGGAGGTCTTGGGGAGGAGGCCTTCCTACCTCGGAGGAGCTCCTCGTGGGCACACACTGTACGGACACAGATCTCCTTGTTAACGACGTACACACGGCGGAGGCTGCAGGGACAGGGCACGGGAGGTCTCAGCCCCACTTCCACCCAACCCCACTGGGATAGCCCAGACAGAACCCGGCACTGGAGTCCAGGAGTGGAGGTCCCTGGCCCAGGCTCAACCACAGAACTGAGCTCAACTTCAGGACTCACTATCTTTCCTCCAACTCCCACCTTGGCTGGCCAGAGCTGTCCCGTGTGCCCTCTAGCCCCCCAAACTCCGGAGTCCTCCCGACAGCTGCCCACCTGTGCTCACCTGTAGAAGCAGACCTCGTTGATACACTGTTTGCACGGCTTGTGTATGGAGTAGAGGCGGGTGCACGGGTACTGTTCCTCACGGCAGTCTGGTGACAGGTGGGGTCAGACTAGGAGCCCAGAGTTGGGGGGCGGCCCCCAGCCTCACCCACCTGAGGCTGGCTCGCAGGGCCTAGTCCCCCCTGTACCCTCAGGCCCCGTGCAGACACCCATACCTACACATGCCCACGTAGACACGTGCAGCACTGTCAGACTTACCAGGGCTGTAATATTCATGTATCAACTCACAACCACACTTACTATAGAAACCTAAGTTCAACAGAAATTCCCACCCACCCATGCGTCGTCACAAAAGCCCATACCAACTTCCAAGCAGATCTGCCCACGCTCACAGAAGCCCACATAGGAACACACACACCAACCCACATGAGGGTAAGCACACGGATTCTCTCACACACACACACCTTGTTCTTTCAAGCTCTCAGCTGGGGCAGCCGGAGGGGCACCGCTCAGCCAGCCTGCGCTCCCTGGCCCTTCCTCACCTCCACATGGGCACCACCCAGTCTCTCTGGCTGACAGGAAGTCCCCAGCACACTCCCTGCCCCCGCCCAGTAACTGTGAGGACAGGGGCCTTCCTAGGCTGCCAATTTAGCCTCCAGTCAGGCACGCTGGGGACTGGTGGGACCTCCTGGAGCTGCCTAGGGGGGCCTGGGGATGCCAGCCTACAGCAGTCATACTGCCCACATTACTGCCAACAGCCCACATGGGCAAGGGACAAAGACTTCCAGCCCACCAGCACCGCCCCCTACTCCACCCCAACTTCAGGCCGTGCCTCCATTTCTCTGGCTGTCAAGAAAGCCCTTACCAAGAGGCCCAGGCTCTGTGGGCTCCGCCTCCGCATTTCCTGGTTCTGGTGTCGAGACAGAGGTAGGCAGACATCATTGCGAGGGGTATCTTCAGGGCAAGGGGAGTCACCTCTCCCAGCCCTGGCAGACCCCCACTCCCAGGGTGGACAGAGTGGGGAGGGGTGAGGCAGGAGCTGGGGCAGGGGTGGGAGCAGGGTCTGGCGCCTACCTGGGGTTGGGGCTGGGATGACTTCCTGTTGGACTTGCTGCTGGGACTGGAACTGGAACTGTTCCTCGGAGGGCCGAGGAGTCACCTCTGCAGCCAGGGGAGGATAAGGGGGTCTGCTCCCTCTACCCTTCCCAGGGGCTCTCCCCACCCCAGCTGCCCGCCTACCCCCAGCCCGTTACCTTGATAATCATAGTAGTCTGGGCTGTCTGCAAACAAAGATGAAAGTGGAATTGGTGGGAGTCAGGCTACTCCCCCAGCCCCAGGGGCAAACAAGGTCCCCGCTGAGCCAGGGACCAACCCCTAGAGTTCCCATCAGCCTGTCCAGTGCGGTCCCTGGCTGAGCCACGCACATCTGAGCAGCCAGGCCTCCGTGACCCGGCAGGGCTGGGGGTGGAAGGCCCTTACCGATCTGGTCGCTATAGTGGGTGTACTGGACGTGGTCAGGGAACGGCGGCAGCGGGTCCAGGTCGTACTGGCCCTGAGCCAGCAAGCCTGCTGTGGGGAGGCAAAGCATGTGGGATACCCCACGGGGAGGGGCAATGGGGGCCTCAGGCGCTTCTGGGGAAGTGAGGCGGGGGTCACAAGGGCAGGTCTGTAAGAACCTAGGACCCTACAAGCAGATTCCTAGAGGATCCAGACTCTTCTTCGATGGTAAAGACGCTTCCCCACCCTGGTCGTGGTCACCTCCCTGACCTCATCCTGCCCCTTCCTGTTGCTGGCCTCCTGCTGTTCCTGGGACTCCACATGCTCCTGCCTCCCTCAGAGCCTTTGCACCTGATGCTCCCTGGGCCTGTGAGGCCTGCTCAGCTGCTTCAGGTCTTCCCTGGAATTTCAGCCTCATGAGAGGCCGCCCCACCCCCAGCCCACCGGCCCTCGTGCTGATTTCCGTCTGGCACTCAGCACATGCTGGCGTTTCTCACATCTGCTTGTTTCCTGTTTGTCCTCCTTCCCTGGACTGGCCGCATGATGAGGAGCAACGATGTGTCTGCCTGGTTCATCGCTGAATCCCCAGGGCCTAGCCCAGCACTTGGCACGTTGTAGGGACTCAACACATCACAGCTGAATGAATGAATCTTGGCCCTGCTAGGACTTTTGTGGTCCTCATTGATTCTCCTCATTTGGCCAGTACGGACCCCCCCAAGGTCGAGACTGTATAGAGCTGAAGGGCCCTGAATGGATCTAGAACCCAAGCGTCCGGACTCCCTGCCTTGGGTGCCCCTGCACCTCCACCTGCACATCGGCTCCCAGAGGGGCGTTGTGCCTTGTGCCACGGAGTCCTTGTGCCTGGGACGTGCCCTCCAGAGCCCTGCCTGCCTGCTGCTGTGGAGGGCTGGGGGAAGGGCCGGGAGCTGCCTCCAGATGCTGCCAGTGTTGGCCGGTCCAGTCTGTGGTCCAAGCAGGCAGGAGGCCCTGGGAGCTGGGGAGCTGAGTTCTGGCCATAAGTCATGACACAGGCTCACTGCTAATCCCCCCTATTAACTCTACTCCCCACCCCCACATAAGGGGAGCTACCCTCTGCCCCAGGAGCCACTTACCAGGCAGGAATAGCAGGAAGAGGTAGGCAGCTCTCATGGCAACGAAGAGGCAGGCCGGAGTGGTGTCAGAGAGGACAGCTGGGGAAAGACCGGTGGGAACTCTACCCAGGGCCGCACCCAGGACAGCAGAGCCCACCTTTGATCCCCTGATTTCACCCTGGAGAAGGTGGCACCCAGAAGCCAGGCATGGGAGGGCTGGAGTGGAGGGACATCCCAGTCCCTGCTGGCCCGCCCAGGTGTTCAGGTCACAAGGAATAAGGCCTCCAACCCAGCTCCAGGGCTGATCCTGACAAGCACACCCCGTGTCATGTGTGTACTAGACACAGGGAAGGGTGGACCCTGCCCTGCTCACTAAGGGGACATTCCTAACGTGCTCCCAGCCCGGGCCATTCTGTCCTCACCCACACCCATGCTCAGCCCTCTGGCCCAGTGCCTCCCCGGGTGTCCAAGGCACTGACTGCATGAATCGCTGAACCAGGCCCATCCTTGGGACCCCAGCTGTGGCCAACCGGCATCACCGCCTGGACTCAGCAGCGTCTGCCAAGCCCACCACCTGCTCCCAATTAGCCCCTGGGCCCTGAGCATCCTGCTCAGCAGAAAACCACATACACATGGGCCTGCTGGGCCCCCACAGCGGCCAGGCCGGGCAGGGCTCCCAGCGCCCAGAAGACTCCTCTCCTGCCAGGCCTCCAGGCCTCGCAAGACCTGGCTGTGTTCATCACAGGCTCACGAGACCTGGGCTATTTGCAGCAGCAGGAAACACTAGAGTGAAGTCTGAGGGGACTCCTCTGGATTCCAGAATGGCAGCACTGAAGGGGCCGTGACATCACCCGGCCTGGGGGTTCCGCACCCCCTGACATTGTAGGCAAGTATGTATGTCATTTGGAAGGAGAGGGCACCGGGTCATGGCTTTCATTAGGATCCTGACATTCAAGAGCCCAGCCTCCAGTCCTGGCCACTTGGTGGGACTTGGGGAAGCCTCCGGTTCCCCACATCCAGCCCCAGCTCCGTGGAGGGCCACCTCAGGTCCCTCAGCCTTCTGTAGGGAGGGCTGCGAGGGTGGGGTCCATTCTCCAGGAGGGCCCCTCCCGGCTGCAACCCAGGAAGTCTTTCCAGAAAGTTAGCTGGAAACCCCAACTTTGCTCTATTTTCCCCACTGGGAATCCAGGGGGAGGGGAGGGAAAGGGGAGAAAGCATGGGGTCTTTCCCTCCTTCCTCTGAATCCTGAGGCCTCCCTGACCCCCGGCCCTCTCATGCGTTTTGGGCACCTCACTGAGGTGGAGTGGGAGCGGGGAGAGGAGGCTCAGGACCAAGCTGCCCCAGAGGTGAGGGATAGCTGACTCCCCACACCCCATTCTGAAAACCCTTGACCTCCTCATGGAAGGGGGATGAAAAGACCCCAGAGCCTTCGTCGCCCCTCTCCCCACCGTCGCCCCCCTCCCCACCGTCGCCCCTCTTCCCATCGTCGCCCCTCTTCCCATCGTCGCCCCTCTCCCCATCGTCGTCCCTCTCCCCATCGTTGTCCCTCTCCCCATCGGTCAGGCCGGTGGGAGCCCCCGCTGCTCAGCAGAAGGCGCTGAATTGGGGCATGAGGGGCTGCAAGGTGTTGGGGGATGCCTGTTGGTCCCCTGCGTGGAGTCTTCTTCCCTACGACTGGCCCCCAAACCCAGGCTTATTGGGGGAGGGAGGCCCACGGGCTAGCGGGTAGACAGGAAAGAGGGAAGTCAGTGTGGAGTTCATGGGCTCCTCCCAGGGGACCACATCTCCAAGCACTTCTAGACCAAGGGGTTTGGGGGCGTGCGGGAGGCCAGGACCTGCCCGGGAGGCTGCCCCACCCCCACCTCTGGCCTCTTCCACAGCTGCGGCCTCCCCCAACCCCGACTCCCCTGCGTCCTGGGAGGAGGGGGACAGGGGGCCCCGACGCTGGCTCAGACCTCAGACGGAGGGCTCTGCCCGCTCCAGAGCCAAGCTAGGGGGGAGGGGTCCCAGCGGGGGGAACCCAGATGCTGCAGCGCCGCACAGCTGGGAACAGTCAGCCGCGGAAACTTGTTCCGCGCGCCCTCGCGTTCCCGTCTCTGATCTCTCTTTGTCTCTCTGCGTCTCTGTCTCGGCCATTCCCACCGGGGCCCCCCACCCCACCCGCCACATTCCAACCTCCCCGGGAGAACAAAAGATGTCCCATCCCCCGACGCCCCCACCTCTGGCTCCCCCCAAACTCGGGCTCCCCGCCCTTCCCAATTCACGTTTTCTCTGCAGAGCAACCCCAAACTTTCCAGGTGCCCCCCTGGCGTCCGCTCTGAAGGCGCTGGGTTCAGGACCTCCGCGGTCGCCCCAGGATCGGGGACCCGGAGAGCTTGGCACCCCCGTCCCCGCGCCGGGGGACCCGCCGACGCCCCCGACCGCCCCCCGGGCCCCCGAGCGCCAGGCCCGCGCCTACCTGTCCGGGTCACTCCGCCGCCCGCTCCGAGTCCGCCCGCCGGAGCCGCCCCTTGGCCCGCTCCGAGTCCCCCTCCGGGCCCCCGACGGGGCTGGCGCCCGCCCTCCAGCCCCAGAGCCTCTGGGTCCTAACGCGAGCGGCCCGCACAGGCCGCCACGCCGTGCCCTCGGGGTTCCATCTCCTCGGGGGTGTCCCCGGGGGAGAGGCGCCCGGAGCCGTCCTCACGTCCGTGCAAAGCTTCCTCCTTCTCACAGCTGCTCCTCACTCGACGTCGACGGGGTGAGGGGGGTGAGGTGGGTGAGGTGGGTGAGGTGAGCAAGGGTGGGTGTGTAGCCCATTTCACAGAGGAGAAAACCAAGCTTCCCAAAGTGACTCACCATAGGCCCCTCAGCCAGAAAGTAAGCCTCGCTCGCATTCTGCCTTCTCCCAGCTTACAGGACACCCTCCTGCCTTGGTTTTCCTTCTGCCTCTCCAGCTGAGCCTGCTGCCTCTCCCAGGCCCGCACCATCTCCTCCTACACTGCTGAGCTCTGGGCCATGGCTGGCTTCCACAACCAGCCGTTCTTTCTTTCCTTTTCTAGAGACAAGGTCTTGCTGTGTTGCCCATGCTCATCTCGAACTTCTGGCCTTGAAATTTTGGCCTCAAGAGTTCCTCCTGTCTCATCCTCCTGGGTTGCTGGGATTACAGGCAAGATTCCCTGACCCAGGTCATAACCAGCACTTTTTTCAGCCCTGACCCTATCTATGTGTCCCACAAATGTCCCCAAGGTGCATCAACTTCAACAAGCATCCAAGTCCAAATTCACAACCTCCTAACTCTCCCCAAGACCTGGCCTTCAAGACCTGGCCTTCCAGGGTTCCCAGTACTCCATTGGCCCCCCAGCCTTCCATTACCCAGGCTTCCTCCCCTACCCTTAGCCCTGCATCTAATCCAGTACCCACCTGTGAATGCTACTAAAAATTTCTTTTGTGACTCTGTCCACTGCTCCCTCCCTGGCCTAAGCCACTGTGAGACCAAGTTGCAATCCCAAGAAACCACATTTGTTCTTTCTGCTTGTCAGAAGCTGACAAAGCCCTGACTCAGTGGCCAGCGGCAGCGCAACGGAAGGATGTCTTGAAGATGGCAGGCAGGGCAGAACACAGGCTCCCATGCCTCTTGCTTGAATCACTGCATTGTTAGGAAAGGTAAGTTCAATGATCCTGGCTGTGCCTTTTCCTGTACGTAAGATAGCACCTGACAGGACCGATGATTATGCCTCTATAATCTATATAACTAGGTGCATCCTCGAACCCAAACCTTGGTGAGATTTGCTCTAGTGTAGCTTCTGAAGACATTTGATGTAACTTTTTTCTTCTTTTTTTTTTTTCTTTAATGGACCACGGGGTCCGCTCTATCATCCAGGCTGGAGAGGGCAGGGCATGGCCCATCACAGGGCTCACCTCTTGGGCGCGGCTGACCTTCGCCACCCTCAGCCTCCCAAGTACTTGGGACTACAGGCAAGAGCCACCATTGCCGGCTAATTTTTCTTTTTGTGTGTTTTTTGTAGAGAAGGGCTTTGCCATGTTGCCCCAGTCTGGTCTTGAACTCGCTGAGCCAAGCAACCACCCGCCTCTCAGGCCGTCCAAATAGTGCCTGGTTTACAGTGTGAGCCAGCATGTGGCCTTGACCATGTACTCTGAATACGTATGCAGAACGCACATGCCTCTCGTATCTAAAGTGTGGGCCTGAAATGTGCTGGCTTCTTGGAGCACTCCTGACAGAGAGACTAACCCTCTCTGAAACGTTCTCCCAGCGGTGCAGTCCTCCAGTAAACTCAATAAAAGTAAGACTTTATAATTCTCTTTCCAACACAGCTGATTTTCTTGTTTTTATTTGGAGCTACTCTGTGCCCGGCTGAGTGCAGTGGGCGAGCCCCTTTTGGCTCACTGCAAGCGCGCCAGCTCTCCCATGGTTCGAAGGGTTCTCCCACCTCAGCCTCCCCCAACGTAGCCTGGAATTAGCAGGTGGTGGCATGCCACCCAGAATGCCCAGGCTAATTTTTGCATTTTTTTCTTTTAAGTAGAAGACCAAGGGGTTTCACCCATGATTGGCCAGGTTCATGACCTTGTACCTGATCCCACCCTGCCTTGGTTCCCAAAGTGGCGGGATTATAGCATGGAGCCATTGTGCCCTGGCCAAAAGGTGGATTTTTTTTTTTTTTCTTTTGAGAGCGGGGTGCTTGCTGTCTCCCTCAGGCTGGAGTGCAGTGGCGCGCCTCATACTCACTGGGCCACACCTCATGCCTCCCAGGTTTCGATGTGAGTCTTATGCCTCACCTCCGCACGCGGAGCCGTCAACTGACTACCAGCGCGCCAACGCCGGCCGCCACCTGGCCCTTTTTTTTTTTTTCTTTTTTGGTATTTAAATAGAGATGAGGCTTCACCATGTTGTCCAGGCTCATCTTGTACTCCCAGTTGATCCACCCACTTCGGCCTCCCGAAGTGCTGGAATTACAGGCGTGAGCCACTGGGCCTGGTCAAAAGGCTGATTTCTTCTTTAGTTGATACCACCATCATTTGCCTGGGCTCTGCGATAGCCTCCACTCCGGGCGCTCCCACGTGGGTCCTGCCTCCCTCACCCCTGCAGATCATGACCGCTTCTACTGAACGCCTTTCACTCAGGTTGGGGGCTCAACTCCCCTGTGGCCTCCAGGACCCCTGCCCTTTATGGCAGCCTGGCTCTGCCTCCTCTTCCTCCTCTAGCCACCGGCCTTTGGGGGCTTTCTCCCAAATTCCTCTCCTTCCCAGACTGGGGCGTTTCTTCCTCCCGAGCACTGGCTGAGGTCTCCTCCGTGGGGTCACAGATCAAACCCTCCCTTCCTCAGAGGGGCCTTCCCTTTTTCCTTTTTTTGTGCTTTCTAGCTTTACTGCTTGCAGCTCTCTTGTTGGCCTATCTGTGACCATCTGAGCCCTGTCCCTCTTCCCGATGAGACTGTCATCTTGCCCCGTGAAGGCCGGGACTGAGGCCTGTTTTTGCTTATCTTCAGTTTTGCTGATTAGGCTCAGAGCCTGGCTCCGAGCAGCAGTTCAGCAAACATTTGTGGAATGAATGAGTGAACTGTACTCTAAACTCTTCCCAGAGAGACTGGCTGGGAATGCAGATCCTCTGCCTCTGGGGCAGCCTTCAGTCCTGCCCAGGAGCAGGGGGTTCTGCGGGCTGGGAGGAGATGTAGGGGCTGCGGGCTGGGAGGAGATGAGGATGGTCCCTGACTGAGACCCTTGCCGTGTGATCTCTTCACCCCTAGTCATTCCCCCACTTCCCTTAGACTCTGAGTCTCAGGAAGGGACTGAATATGTCCTGCGCCTCCTTCATTCCCCAGGATTGCTTTGTTGAAGAATGACCATGCCCCATCCCCCAGTGTCTATGGCAGTGCAGCAGAGACTTTTGTCACCTGGAGAGAGGTGGGCCCTCAGGCCGGCCCAGCCGTCTGCCTGCCCTTAGACCCCACTGCTGCCAGGAGCAATCCCACTGGCAAAAGAGAGGAAATCACTCAGTAGAAATGCTGTCCCTTACCCTCGAAAAAAAGAGGGAGGCTGGGCGCGGTGACGCACACCTGTAATCTCAGCAGTTTAGGAGACCGAGGCGGGCGGACCGCTTGAGCCCAGGGGTTTGAGACCAGCCTGGACAGCATGGCAAAACCCCATCTCTACAAAAAATACAAAAATTAGCTGAGTGTGGTGGCGCCTGCCTATAGTCCCCGCTACTCAGGAGGTTGAGGTAGGAGGATCATCTGAGCCTGGGGAGGTGGAGGCTGCAGTGAGCCATGATTGCACCACTGCACTCCAGCCTGGGCAACAGAGCAAGACCTTGTCTAAAAAAAAAAAAAAGAAAGAAAGAAAAACTGGGACATTGAGGGGCTAAAGCTGCCAACTCGTGTCCTGGCTCCCAGGTCCTCTCTGCTGCTTCTACCCATTCCCCTGGCTGTTTCTTTGGGCAGGGGAGGGGATGGGGCTGTGGTTGCTGTGCTCCCACTATGTCCTTGGACATGTGCTCCTTCCCTGCCAGGCTTTCATGCTGGATGGTGAACTGCTTGCAGGGTGAGACCATGTTTTTGTCTCATTTTATTCAGTTTGTTGAGTTAGTCCTGGTGCCTGGCACACACCTGTCCAATAGATTCATGAATAATCGGCTAAGGGTAGAGGAGGTATTTGAACCCAGGCCTCTCTGTGGCTTCCTCTGAAACAGCATCTGCCACCCTGAACCGTCGCTGTGCCCGGAGCAGAGGTCCACCATGATGTGCCTCCTGGCAGGAGTTACATCCTCACACCCACATCCCTTCTCCCCAGCATGATTCAACGTTTTCTCAGCCCCTACTCTGGCAGGCCTGGGGATAGCACCAGGGGTTCCAGGAATGAGGTTGGCCAGGGCTTTTGGAAGGCAGGAAACAGCCAGTCTTTCCTGTTCTCCCCTGCCCAGATGAGCCAGACGGCCAAGCTGCCTCTCTAGAGCAGAGGGGCTTGGCCAGGGGCCCGCTGGTGAGATGAGCTCAGAGGCACCCACCCTTCCCTGAGGGATGATGCACGTGGTTCGGGCTGGGAGATGTGGGCTCTGAGCCTGGATTTCATCTGAGGAGAGGAACTGCCCACAAACATGTCCCAGGATGTTGGGGTGGGACGGGGAAGGGGAAAGGTGGGAGAGAGGGAACTGTCCCCTAGCAAATGCCTCCCAGGCAAGCCCACATCTCCTTGTCCTCCAAAGGAGGGTAGGAGGGTTAGGAACATCAAAACTGGAGTCAAAGCTATCCAGCCCCACTCTGACTACTTGTGCAAACTCTAAGCCCTGGTTTCCTCATCTGTAAAATGGGAATAGTACCCCACTTGTTGGAAGGATGACATGACAACGTGTGTAAAATGCTACATGGGGCCAAGCGCAGTGGCTCACGCCTATAATCCCAGCACTTTGGGAGGCCAAGATGGGCAGATCACCTGAGGTCAGGAGTTCGAGACCAGCCTGGTCAACACAAGGAAACCGTCTCTACTAAAAATACAAAATTTAGCCAGGCGTGGTGGCACACGCCTGTAATTCCAGCTACTTGGGAGGCTGAGGCAGGAGAATCGCTTGAACCTAGGAGGCGGAGGTTGCAGTGAGCAGAGATCACGCCACTGTACTCCAGCCTGGGTGACACAGCAAGACTCCATCTCAAGACCAGAAAAAAAAAAAAGCTAAACGGAATGTCCAG